ATCAGGGGATAAATAGTGATCGATACTGATGGCAAAAATGCATGATTTTTTTATACCATAAAGATAGCAAACGAGTACACAGCCTGTTTGATGGTAAATGTTTACTGTAATCAATGGGTGTCTGCAACACTAGGGGTGTCACGTACGGGTTACTGGCCCTTAAGAAACCTTAATACACACTTTTTGAAGAGCCCTATACAGTAATCTTTAGGGAAAACCCTGGCTGGGGGCTGATTCTTAAGCGTTTATGGGAGAAAATTCCTCTAAAACCGCATTATACGCGATTATTTAGGTTCTAGCATCTGAGAATGAATTCTCGATGGCAAACGATTTTAATTTATAAAAATTAAATACAGTAATTAAATTCACACACATATTTATTTATTTATTTATTTATTACATCCACTGGATGAGCTTTACAGTCTTCCAATACGCTCACCCAGGAAAGCATGAGTACAATAACATACAATAACATACATACAATATTACACAAAAAATATTAAACAAAAAATAATACAAAAATACTCAACTGAAACAAAAAAAAAATCTAAACACAAATACTCTGTGGTCACTCGACGAAACTCCAGCAAGTTGGAGGCAAACACATCCAATTGCGGATACTGGCTCAAAATATCATTGAGTTGTTTCAATGCAAGAGATAGGGGAGCCTGCTTAGCGAACTCTGTTACTTATGTACTAATAGTAGTAGAATTCAACAAAATAATTGAAATTAAATAACCAGTGATACGAATTGATATCCGTCTAGTATGGGCTAAATCGAAATAGGTGCTAATCAATGTTCAGTTCAAACTCAAATTCGAAATATCTTTATTCATGTAGCTCTATTCCAGACTCTTGTGATATGTCAAATCTACCGTCAGTTCGGAATGATATCGAGATGAGAAGAACTGACAAGAAACTCGGCTCGTATTCTTTTTAAATAAATTTTGTATTTGTTTACAATAATATAGATTCAGTTATAAATTCAAATTTGGGAGAATAGAGTGACCATCAGTATATGCTAAAATACATATGCAGTAAAACCCAATATATGGATATCCGATATTTTTTTCCTATTTATTATTTCAGCCGTTAATTGTCCACTACTGGACATAAGTCTGGACGTAAGTCTTCCCCATAAAGGGAGTTTTGCTAATAGTTGCCATGCTTGGCAAGCTGGTTGGCAACCGCAGCTAGGGTTTTAGAGATGTTTTAAGAAAGACGCTGCTGCCCTTCTCTCGCTGTGATTGTGAGGCGATTAAGAGGGATCTTAATCGCCTCTTACGACTCCACGGGAAAGGTAAGGGTGGCTCGTTTCATGCCAGGGCATACATAGCGAAAGTTCTATAAACCCGTGCAAAGCCGGATCGGATAGCTAGTAAAATATAAATTTTCAACAGGTAAAGCAGCTGTGTTTGCATGGGTGTGTTTCGGTTTGAAGGGTGGGATATGGCGTGAATTTACTGGGTATAGAGGAATAACACCTGAGTCCTCAGGAATGGCAACGCATGGGGAGTATCATGAGCGAAACAGTATACTCTGTTATGTCCATGGTACTGCTCATGTCTATAGGCGACGGATACCACTTTCCATCAAGTGGACCGTCAGCTTGTTTGGCATTCTAAGTTGTATAAAAAAAATCAACAAGAAAAATTTACGCATCCAGAATTTCTTGCCTCAAATGTATCCGAGAACACCTAAGTACAATAGTACACTTTAATGAGGTCTGTAGCCAATTGAAATGCGGGACACGTGTATGACTCTAATAGGCTTCGTATTACGGAACTTCCTGCTAAAGGATAACCGGCGGGAGCATCAATAAAAACAAGCGTAACACACATTTGAAAGTCGAATACGAATCTAAACAAAACGTACAAAAGTACATAGGAATAACACCTGAGCCCTCAGGAATGGCAACGCATGGGGGTATCATGGGTGAAACAGTATTTTTTTTACAACACAGGGGCAAACGAGCATGCAGGTCACCTGGTGGTAAGTGACTACCGCCGCCCATGATCATCCACAACACAAACGGCATTGCAGGTGTGCTGCCGGCCTTTTTTAAAAGGAATGTACTCTTTTCTTGAAGGTTATGTTGTCGTATCAGTTCGGAACTACTGCTACTGGAAGTTGATTCCAAAGAATGGTTGTGCGTGGGAGAAAGTGCCTTGAAAAACGCACAGTGGAGGACCGCCACTCGTCCAGATGGTTGGGATGAAATTTTACTATACTCTGTTATGCCCATGGAACTGCTTATGTCTATAGGGGATGGTTACCACTTTCCATCAGGTAGACCGTCAGCTTGTTTTCCATTGTAAGTTGCATAAAAAAAACATTTACCCTCTTTGTTATAAAAAAAATTCTCCATATGGTCTCAGCGTAGAATGGACTACCTCATCCTTTCCTGTAGGTGTCGGAAGAGGCGACTAAAAGGACTTAACGGTCGAGGGATGGGCAGCAGCGTCCCTCTTATACATCGTCAGTGCTTAATTGCATTTTTTTTTCATTTTTTTAAATGATGATAACGGAATGATAGCCCGTCCATGCTAACGGTATACACTGGCAGGGTATCAGTGAAAGATAATTATTGAGAATGAAAAAGCAGGTCAATTAGCCCATACACTTGGGATTCAGCATGATAGTTTCCAGAGGGAACCACGTGGAGGTCGACCTGACATATTATTACATATTATTAGCAATGGGACTGGTAGTCCGCATTACTAACAATCCCTTCCCCCTAACCTAATTGTAGCAGCTAACCTGTCTACCAAGAGGGACAACAATAGGCAAACTCCCCCTAAATGAAAATGTATATATATAAGTACATATGTAAAGGGAAATTAATGAACTCACTGTGTCTTTGTTACTTTTTGTCTCTTTCCGGATGAAGTCGAAACGATTGTTGGAAACGACAAAAATACAGTGAATTCATTTATTTCCCCGTTACATATATATATAGGCATCGAATAAAAAATGAACACAAGTTTTAAAAAAAATGCAAATAAAAGTTGTAAAAATCAGTTTAAAAATTACAAATAAATCGCAGTGTAGAACGACCCAACTAGATGGAGTGACGACCTCAAATACATTGCAGGGAGTCAGTGGATGCAGGTGGCTCAGAACCGTTCCTTATGGGGAAGGCTGTGGACGGATAATGGCTGAAATGATGACAATGATGAATCCCATAAAATGAGACCTGATTGACCTTCCTTTTTTCAAAGTCACATAGGAAACAATAACTATTTTTATACTACTTTAGTCGTAAACAAGCATACGACCCGTCTGATGGTAAACGGAATTACCGTAGCCTGTGGACGCCTGTATTACTAGGGATGTCATGCGCTGACAATGTCGTTTTCACTTTTATATTTGCTCAAGTTAAAGTCTCATTTTATTAACCTTCAACTGTCCATTGCTAAACTTAAGCCTCCCCCTTAAGAGGTTTTGCCAGTAGTTGCCATGCTTGGCAAGCAGATTGAGAAACACAGTTAGGTTTTAGAGATGTTTTAAGAGGAACCCTGCTACCCATCCTCCCATCCACGGGAAAGCAAAGGGTGGCCTGTTCTATGCCGGGACCACACGACCAAAGGTTAATGCCTCACTTACTAATTATTAGTGATGAATCAGTAATTAACTGATCACCGACAAGCCAGAGAATTTACATATTGTTCCCGAAATTTGCCTACGGACTTTCACTTGTCCACTCACTGTGACAACCCTAACTCGGACTTATGTTTTTCGAGACAGTCCCTTTCATTGTGTAAACTTAGTGGCAATTAAGTCAGAACACAATTACCCTCGGTTTAATTACAGAAGTTGACAATTAAATTGAACAATGTCCGGATTTAGGGTCTCAGATTCTATATACCCTAAAGTTCTGAAACACTGGCAGTAAACACCAGTATAGTCCTATGTGCTTACCAAATAGTTTCCTGATGTTCTCATTTGTGTGGCTAATTCTGGTTGCCGTAACACTGGTTGCGGGTAATTACAACTCCTAATTACCATTTGATCGCCATCTTTCTTTATGTAACTTTCTTTTGTTTATTTATTAAACTCTAATACACCTAGATAGTGTAAATGGCGGACTTTACACAATATAGCGTTATCTACCAGTCGACCGTAGACAAGAATAACGGAAAATATAATTGTAATTGTAACGTAATGAGCAAATAAATAGATAAACAAAAACAGTAATAAATTAAAACAGTAATTTAAAAATAACATATATATATATCACTCATATTACCTACATAATACAGACATATATATGTATTTATAAAGGTAGTTTGAGAATACTATGTATGTAATTATTATTGTATATAATAATAAACGAAAAACTAAACAGATGTATGTTAGAAATACAAGAGAAATACCAGCATCATACAAAGCAATGGGTCCAAAACATATTACGATTCTAAAGATTCTAAATAAAAAGAACGTAATTCATTTAAAAAAAATTATACTTCTGTGGTAACAAAATTAATTTAACACCTGTACGGAGGAGTAAATTCTATAAATTACAAAAAGTCTATCAAAGTCAGTGTAAAATTAACAAAAATATCGTATAATGTACAAAAAAATAATAGAAATTTTAGAATCACCTATATAAATACACATCTGTCACGCCTGTCTCCGATTAGGGTAGGGAGAAACAATGGAATGCCTATTAAAGTTATTTAAATACTCAATTTTTTTTTGTGTTGGTTCTAAAAAGTGCGTTTAATATAAACTATAGGTTACTTCCTATTAATTCTATTAATATTATACTCGTAAATGCGAAAGTTTTTAACCGTGGACGGAAGGATAGATGTTTTTTTACTGTTTCACGCAAAAACTACCTTTTTTTTACAATTACAATAATAAAATAAATTTCTTATAAATACAATATATCAGGTACCCAAATTTTCATCCTAAAAAGCGGCAAAGAGTAACGCAAAATACAATGAAACCGTTTTTTGTGTCAGAAAAATATTTCCTTTAAAAACTAGAGTACTCACGAAGGCGGTATTCCCCCAACGAAGACGTCGGAGTTTGTGTTGAACTTCCCGAATACGAACTCCTTGCCTCTGGACGTCTTACTCTGCGTGACGCCGTCCACCATGAGGGAGGTATGTTCATCACGACGGGCCACCTGCATGTTTAAAAAACAAGTTTAATTATTATAAATTAGGCTTAGAGATTAGGCTTAAACCAAAAAAAAAGAGTTCTAAAGTTTGTATTTGCAATTATTCGCTATATATTCTTTATTGACCACAATACAAAAAAAAATTGACAAAAAAATGAACTTAACGCTATATATAGCGAATAGCGAATATTCTCTTCCAGTCAACCCTTGACAAAACAGAAATATAGTTATGTAGTGAAAAATATCGAAAAATGTTGTAAGTAAACAGTCACATAACATATCTATATTGGTTTATAAATCATATAACAAATGAAACACAATAACTACTACAAGTTGTGATCATATAAATATACTTACATGAATACAAATATATGTATATCATTAAACACACATACATACACGATAATACACTGTAATGTCAATAAAGTAAATTCTGTAGTTTACTTTGTCCCATCCGTACCTCTGCTATAAAAAAACTGTCATTGCATGGATATATTACAAGGGTGGAATATAGCAGTAAAAAATATATAATACACGGAATCAGTTCTCGGGAGTAAAGGCTTCAAGGATACTGTGATCGTCACAGTATATTCTGTGACGACCACAGTACCCTTACGAATATCAAATGACAGAGCTTGAAGAATAGATAGCGTTAAAATACATGACATCTTTTAAAATGGCCACTTTCACAAGATGGCGGATTATATTGCGAAAGTTTGCTTCTAAAAATAAACAGACTCGTTTGATGTAACAAGAAAAAATGGTAAGCATTCGAGATTGGAATCTTTCCCTTTACAGATGCTAGCAAAAAATCAGCACTACGTATAGCGTGCAGTTTTATGCTGAGTTGGTTACCTTTCCACGGTTGTGATACATAGCGACACCTACGCATTTATCTTATTGTTACTCTTATAAGACCAACTTGTTTGTTTGCTTGTAGTAGTGAATTGTTTGTATCTATCAATAAATACATATACACATACATAAAATAGATGTTTTCTTCAAGAAACTTTTCTGTAATAATTAGATATGGATATTAAATGCACCGCCTTCGTATTTCTCGGTTTACCCAATGGTTGACTGGTAGAGAACTCCGTCCGGTGTTAATTCCGCCAAATGTACATAGAATTTTACTGAGCATTAAAGTTTAAATAAATAAATAAAAATTAATTTATATAGATGTGGCAATTATTAACTTTACATGCTAATATTTAATAGACTTCGAAGGAGGTTCCCAATTCGGTTACACTTTTTTTTTATATGTCTTAGATTATAACTCCGTCAACTGTTAACCGATTTGAAAATTCTTTTTTCTTTATCTGATAGGATATACTTCCATAATGATCCCATATGGACAGGTTGGCAAAAACTGTAACAATGAATTCAGACCATTATTCTGAATTGAAAATCAGTGGAAATTCTTTTCGAAAAATTTCCATTTTTTTCCTGCTTTTTAATGAAAATTCATTTAAAATTATGTAATCTATAATACTATTTCATAATATAAAGAAATAATCATAATTTATAGTGAAATACTATGAAATACCAAAAAATCAGCAATAAACGTATTAAAATCGTATTGCGATGCACGGAATCAGCTATATAATCAGGGGGGAAAGGGATTGTTAGTAATGGGGTCTAACTGCCCCATTGCTAGCAATATACCCAATCAGGTCGACCTCCACATAGTTCCTTCTGGAAACCATCCTGGTTAATTCTAGTGCAATTCATCACGATGGGCTAACTGACCTGCTTTCATCGTCACTTATCATCCCTCACTGGTGCCCCGCCAGCGTATATCGTTAGCGCAGGCGGGATTACCATTCCATTATCATCCATTTAAAAAAAAGCATTATAATCAACACCACAGTCTACGAACTACCTACGAAGAAGCACCATTGACCGTGCCATACCTACGTATCACGCGTCGTATGGATCATAAAATTTCAAATACATTGCGCGGCGTCAAAACAAAGAATCGTTAATTATATACTTGCAGTGCATTTCCGGTGGGAAAATGTTGTACCCATTGGTTCAGACCATCCATCTGAATCAACTGTTTTCGTTTTGACCAACCTGCCTCTTCTACCCTGTATAAGATACGATCATCATAGTCCTTAAAAATGGGCACGCATTTATGATACTATTGGCGTTACAGCGTATTCTGTAATGTTCATGAAGCTATTCATATCCATAGGCGACGGTTAATACTTTCCATCAGGTGAGTCGCCTGCTTGTTTGTCATTCTTAGTGTCATAAAAAAGAAACATATATTTTAAGCACCCATAAAAGTTGTAATCACTGTTCTAGCTGGCCCACTTTAACGAGACATTACGAATCCAAATGACCTTGACCCACAACAATATAACTTTGTTAGCGATTATCATCCTATCCCCTACACTTCATTACAAGAAAATATCGCGGACCACAACTGAATGGCCCAAAAGTGTACTCACCTGGATTTTATGCCAGTGTCCATCGTTGAGATTGTTGCCGACCGTTATAATTTGAGCCCCGCCACCCAGGTTGTACCTTAATCTCAACGCACCATTCACTAGTTTCAGTTCGAAAAAGTCGTATGTGCCACCATCGTCCGTATACAAAAGCAGACCGTTCGGCTGATCCGTTTTAAACTCCAACTCAAGTGTGCCATTCAGGCCCGCGTTCCATTTACGAAACTGCGAATACGGATTCTGCTTGTCGAGCACGAACGCGAGGTTCCTATTGAAAGATAAGGACAGAAGACAGAAGAGTACGTAGCGCATGGTGGCGACGTCGTCTGGGGACATGGTTAGAGGGAGACAACACGTCACCACGTGACGCCCGACCTACTGCTGCACCTTTTCCGTTTCATTTCTTGGACACCTGAAACAAAAGGTACCATTTTAATACTGCCATCATTCTTACTAATATTATAAATGTGAAAGCGAGTTTATTCCCCTATAGCGCCTTCACGATTTAACCAACCACTATGAAGTTTGATATTAACATGCCACATGGATTGAGAAGGATTTAGGTTACTTTTTATGCCTTTATTAGTAAACATGTACCAGTCAAACGGACGAAGTAGCGGGTAAAAGCTAGTGTACTATATATTTAAAAAGATTTTTGAATACAACGCCGTGTATGGCGACTCTCCCCCCGCCCTCCATCCTCCTCAACTAGATAAGGTGACGACCTCAAATGCATTACAGGGAGTCAGTGAATGCAGGTGTCTCGGAACCGTTCCCTATGGCAGTATGATTTGATTGTTGTTAGATGGTTAGTAGTACGGACTACTAGGTATATTGCTAGCAATGGGAATGCCATTGCTAGCAATTTACCTTGTCAGGTCGATCTCCACGTGGTTCCCCCTGGAAACTATCGTGCTGAATTCCAGATGTATTCATCACGATGGGCTAATTGACCTGCTTTTTCATTCTTACCTATCATCCCTTACTGGGATACGCCCCGCCAGCGTATACCGTTAGCGCAGGCGTGGTTACCATTCCATTATCGTCCATTAAAAAAAAACCGGGATGATGATCTCGTAAGGTCACCTTAATAAAAACTATTTAATGACATCACAAGGTAATTAGTTTTATATACCATAAATACTATTGTTTACTTTTATTTCTTGTGGAAATCTGATAAATTCATCTTATGTCTATGCTCATCAGTGGACAGACAACGGCTTATATGATGATGAAAATGGTGATCACCGTTTACTACATAGTATATAATATTTTTGTTCATAACTTAAATTTATTTAGATTGACAATGGAGGTATTTATTATTCAAGAGAACTATAAATAACATTGTGGCCACTTTTATGAATCACCATAGCATGACACCATATCCATTCATCATGATTACCATCACGATAATAGGAAAACAAAACTACGCAATTCTATAAATAAAGTACCTACGAGTACTTCCGAATTTCTATTCACATAGGCGAAGGCGACAGATTGGCAGCAGCGTCCCTCTTAAAACATCTCTAAAAGCCTAACTGCGGTTGCCAACCCGCCTGCCAAGCATGGCAACTACTGGCGAAACTTCATTTACAGGGAAGGCTTATGTTCAGCAGTGGACAGTTACGGGTGAAATAATAAAAATCCGCTAAGAACGAATTTTTTGAAAATATCATCTTAAAGGGGAAACACGATATTACGCGTGCAAAGCCGCAAGCAATAGATGTACTCATATACCATATATGCTATCTGATGTCTTAAAGCCACAGTATATGTTTTACTTTGTTTACTAGAAATAAAATTGTATATGTACTATTAAGGTACGTATACGTATACATACATACATATCTGTCACGCCTGTCTCCCATTAGGGTAGGCAGAAACAATGGAACGCCAAATGCTTCGATTCAAACAAACCTCTTCCGCTTCTTCCACATTCATCAATCTTTTCATACACGCTCGCCGGTTATGGGTACTTTTAATTTGGCCCTTCTTCAGCACGTCGCCTATTTAGTCAACATACGTCCGTCTAGGGCGGCCCCTACCGACATCTCCATTCATTCTTGCTCGATAAATCTCTTTCGTAATTCTTCTTTCATCCATTCTCTCCAAATGACCAAACCGACGCAACATTCCTTTTTCGATTTTTGTCACTACATCGTCTTTCAGTCCACACTTCACTTACGTATACGTATAAATATGTATTTATTGGCCATGTGGTCCCGGCATTGAATAGGCCACCCCTTCCTTTCCCGTGGGTGTCGTAAGAGGCGACTAAGGCCACTGCTTATCCTAAAGCAGGATTTCACCTATGTTTTATAACATTTATTTCAGAATAAACTTATTATTCTTTCTTTCTTTATTCTTTATTGTACACAAAACATACTGTTAATCACAATTCATTATAAACATTATGTGCAAAGGCGGGCTTACCTCTAATAAGAGATTTCTTCCAGCAAAACCTTATTAATTATTATTATAGATAAACACACTACTTAAATTTGTTATAAGATTTATAAAACAACCTAAGCTCTCCCAGGGGGTTGGTGAATGTCATCACTCATTGTGTCAACGAGCAACTCCCGCAACTTTACTGAAAGTCAGCGCTGACAATGTACAGCGGGAGATAGCAGGATTATCACAGTAATCTCCGGGTACTTATAAGTGTGTAAAACTTTAGGGAGGTCAAGAGGTCAATATGAAACAAAAGTGTCAATTCCATATAACGAAATACTTGGGAGACAATGAGCTTTTTTTATACAACTTAGAATGGCAAACAAGCTGACGACCTACCTGATGGAATTTAACAAACCTCGCCTATAAACATGAGCAGTACCATAGACATAACAGAGTATACTATTTCGCCCATGATACCCCACATGCTTTGCCATTCCTGAGGACTCAGGTGTTATTCCTCTGTACCCTGTAAATTCACTGCCATATCCCACCTTTCAAACTGAAACACAGCCATGCAAACACAACTGCTTCGCGGTTGAAACACGAATGAGACCGAGGTACCCAAATCGACTTTTGTACAAAATCTCCCTCTGTATGTGATTATTATTTGACATTGGCATCTATTAACATTGAACTATTGTAATATAATGAATTGTAACAGTTGACGAATTTATTATTACTTAATATTGATAAACGATATCGTTTTTTGGGAGAATTATTTAAAGAATGACATAATTTGTACTCTATTATTAATTAGCACTGACATTGAACTGAATCTAATGTATTGTTATTGATTGGTTTTTTAACATACTATTATAATTTTATTATTATTAGTTGAATAAATAGTTGGTGTAATGTTAAGTCACTTATATGTATGTATTAAATGTAATGTATCTTGTACCCAATAATAATTTTCCATGCTTTAGACTATAAGGCGAACATTTGTAGTTCACAATGGATTAATATCTGTAAAAAACAATGTTATGGCAAATAAACTAATCTAATCTAATCTAATCTATCGATTGATTTCACTCTATATAAGTATGTATCAATACATGAGTAATAAAACATAGTAACTTATAAGTAGTAAAGTTTACGTTTTAAAAAGCAATTTGTCATAGAGTTTGCATTACAAAAAGTTTATGAACACCTATTTTCCTTAGACTTTAATTGAAAATAACACTGTATTTACAAGAGCGTAACTAATTTGTTTTCTGCAAAAGAACAAGACTCAAAAGCATAAAGTAAAATGGGATATAATTAACAAAGTTGTACGCAAGTTTCATTTTCACAGTCACCAAACCTCCGTTCGCAACTTGGTATTTATTTGAATCGACCAAATGGCTCCGCCGGTTACAACCTATTATCGATTCTAGAAATAAACATTTGTATTAAACTTCTCGATGCGCCTTATCCGATTACATTAAACTGAAAATAAATAGAAGCTGTGCCACTTTTTAGAAACATTCCCGAGTCCTTCCTTAAGTTGACGGATTAACAATACAATTTGTCTTCCATTCTGTTTGTATAGCTGTGTTTAAGTTTTTTTTTTTTTAATGAATGATAAAGGAATGGTAATCTCGCCAGCTGTTACAGTATATACTGACGGGATACTAATGAAAGATAGAAGAGGATCAAACAGGTCTGTTGACCCATAAAGATTTAACCAAGATAGTTTCCAGCGGGAACCGCATGGAGGTCGATCGGATAGGATATATTGCTAGCAATAGAGCTTCGTAATCCCTGTTACTAACAAAAGAACCCAATTACTATAGAAAGCGAAATAAATCATAATTCTTCTTTCCGAATTCTTTTTCATTTATTTACAAGTAAAAATAAATGAAAATCAAAAGGGACCGAACACGGTCTATTTACCTATGTTTGGTATTATAGTTACGATAATAGTCGACTAAGAATATCCTCGTATTACGTGGAAAAGGTAGTGAGAGTCCGAATAGAATATAGTCCGTTATCGATTTTTAATGATAAATGTAACAACACCATTGAGGTAGATTCTAATAATGAAATTCTAAGAAGGATCACTTACGTAAGGTATATTTCAGTAGAGAATAATAAAGAGTAGGTATATATATACATATTCACTGCCCATTGCTGGACATAAGCCTTCTCCATAAGCAGCAGGGTTGGCAACCGCAGTTAGGCTTTTAGAGATGTTTTAAGAGGGATGCTGGTGAAGATATATATATATATAAGTATAATGTTTTATAATTATTCTGGATATAAACTGTTGATTCCAGTAGTAATATTAGAATAAAAAATAAAAAAATACTGATAAAATATTACTGTTGTTAATTTGACCAGAGGGAGATTTTGTATAAAAATTCGTTTGCTTGGGCACCTCTGTCCCATTCGTGTTTCTACCGTGAAGCAGTTGTGTTTGCATGGCTGTGTTTCGTTTTTAAAGGTGAGCTATGGCAGTGAATTTACAAGGTATAGAGGAATAACACCTGAATCTTCAGAATTTGCAACGCTTAGGGGAAGTCTTGGGCGAAAAAGTATACTTAGTTTTGTCCATGGTACGGCTCATGTCTATAGGCGACGATTACTACTTTCCATCAGGTGGAGTGTCAACTTGTTTGCCATTCTAAGTTGTATAAAAAAATAAATAATTTTTACTAAAATCTTAGCAAAACTATTTTCCCTGCACTGTGGCGTACAAATACAAAATTAATTAAATGTAAATTGACACTGATATTAATTAAAATTTAATTTATGTTATATTGGAACAAATTTTCGCAAATTAACATACCTAATGCTACAGTGTATGGAAAACGTATTGTTAATGACTGTCCCATAGCGGCCTATCAGGTTGATTTTCACTCGGCTCCCCCTAGAAACCATCGTGGTTAATTCTTGTTGAATTCGTAACGAATGCCCAACGGACTTCAAATTTACATCATCTTTATTCAAATATACTTGTTTACAAACACTTCT